AAACTTAGTTAAACTTTTTGCAAGTAGAATATACAGAAAAAATTTATATTTGAATTCTATATCTATAAGATATTAAGATTAGAGGCTTAGACAAGTTATTTGCAACCTAAATCTATTTTTTGTAAGTTATTTTATACTTATTATAATTATTAAAAATTATAATTTATTAAAATAAAAATTTATATTTTAATAAAAAATATAACATTAAAAGAAGAATTTAAAATATTTAAAAATATAATATTTGTATATTAAAACTAGTTTTTAAGTATATTACTTTTCAAATTTCAATATATACAAATGAATTAGAATCTAATTAGTCAAAAAAAATAAACATCTTCTTTATCTAACTTCTTACTAATAAAAAATTTTTACAAATATTAAATAAAATAAATAAATTAACAAAGAACAAAGCAGAAAATACAAGATAACAAAAAAGAAAACAGCCTAAAAACAATCTAACTAGAAGCTAAAAAAAAAAAGCCAAAAATAAATAAAAAAAAGTTATTAAAAAAAAGATTATATATAATTATATATATAATACTTATCTAAATATATATTATTTGTTATATAATTCTAATTTTTAATATTAATTTATTATACTTGATTTGCATTATAATACTTCAAAAATATAAAAAACATTATATTTTTAAATAAATTTTAAAATCTTATATTTTAAAAATTTTTAGTTTTAAAAATTAATTTTTTGATAAATAGTTAATATAATAAATAATCTAAAGCTAAAAACTACAAATAAAACTAAATATATGTTTTTATATTATTGCTATTACTATTTATTTATTTATTAAAAATAATAAGTACTATTAATATAATTTTTTTATGTTAATAACATAGTTTTTTTTTATTTATACTTTTTATATTTATTAACTAATTTAGTAATAGGATTAAAAGATACTTTACTACTTTATATTATTTTATATTATTAGTTAGTTTTTATTCTTCTAAAACTTTAAATATCTTTTTAATTGTAAAAATTAAATTATTAAGCAAGCTATTATTTTTGTTAATTAATATATTTATAAATAATGAATTATAATAATTATTTAAATTTATATTTGTAAAATTATATTAAATGTTTAGATTTTTATTATTATTTACAAATATTAATGTTTTTTTAATTAAAAGAAGGTTGGTAATTTAATTTTATATACAGTTATACCTGAGTTATATATATATATATTTTTTTAAGTATTTTTGAATATATATCTAAGATAGAGATATAACTTAGATATAATTTAAATTTAATGTATATAGTTATATGATATGTGTCCAATTAAAATATAATATTCTGAGTAATACAAATCTTATTTTATTAAAAATAATATACTGTTAGAGAGAAGATTAGTCAACACAAATCAATCAAAATACAATGACAATAATATCCAAAATGATTATAAAGATAAATTCAATTTAGCAAAATAAGTTTTGTTTCAATTACATTATATAAAATAACACTAACAATTTAGACTTTAGTTTATTATTTAGAGTAATAACAATTACTTTTCTTTTGTTAATATTATTAGCATTTTTATTTTAAGTAAACAATAAGACTTTTTATAATAAAAAAAGTATATTTTGGTTTTTACTTAATATTATAAATTGAGTATCAGATATATTTACAAGCTACAATATAACTATAACACAAAACCATTATTTAATAAGCTTTGCTTCAAGCCAAATCCAATATAGTATTTTATTAAATATTACTTTTATATATAATTTCTGATGGCTTAGCTTCAGTTCAGAAACTTGACTCAGATCATGAACATGTTTTTTATATACATATATTTTAACTCTTACAATATTTATTAGCTATATAACTATGCAATATATATTTAAAAAAGTGTTTGATAAAATAAATCTGTATTGTAACGATACAGGTTGGAACTATTCTAGAATTCCCTATTCATAGGGTAGCCGATACGTCGTTAGCATAACGTAGGATGTTACTACACTCGAAAGAGGCATTGGATTTGGCGAGTGTAAGGTGGGTATTTATTATTATGTCCTATTCTATTCTCTCTATTTTTACATTTCAAGCACATTACTTATATACTTTTTCCCTATCTGCTATATACATTATATATGCTATATATGCTATCTACACTATATACGCTATATACGCTATACGCACTATATATGCTATATACGCTATATACGCTATATACGCTATATACGCTATATACACTATATATGCTATATACGCTATATATGCTATATACGCTACACTACTAATCCGATTTTGTACATATCAACGATGATTCTATTTTGGATTATGACATTTCTCCCCACTTTAATATATTCATTCTATGAATTAGATCAAGCTTCAAAGATTTCGGCTGGGTTGGTACAGCGAGGGCATGATGATTACATCTTGCAAGGTGGTTAGTAGTAGGTCGCTGATTATATTACTAAGAGTATTTATGTTTTTTTTTTTTTTTTTGCTTTATTGTTTGTTAATTATTATATATATATATTTTTTTTGAAGGAAGTCTCCACCGGGATCAAATATTCGATTATGTAGGTCACATGTGGGTAAGCATCGAAGAGCTTCCTTTTTGCCAATATTCATGTGCTCAATTCGATCTAACACCATTCCTTTTATACATTTCAAGTACCATTCAGGCATTTTACTGCTCAATTTCTTTTTGTCGGGGCAGTTTCCATTTTGATGACAAGAGCCAAGACTTTGTCCTCTATAAGGTAGTAGAAATTCTTTAGGCTCGGCCAGGTATGGTTTCTTTATCATCTTTGTGTCATATTGGATTGACCTTTTGAACTCATTTACTCTTTTGTTCCAGTCTTTACAGGCCTGGTCCAAGTTTTCTAATGGGGTTCGTTGTCCATCTTCAACTGACTTTGAATATCATTCCCATGCTGGTTTTTCATCTCTACCAGTTCCAATTCTTTCGTCTTTATCGATTCGTTCGTCCTTTCCGATTCCAATTCATTCGTCTTTTCCAATTCCATTCCGTTCATCTTTCCCAACTCTATTTTGTTCGTCTTCTTCAATTCCATTTCATTCGTCTCCTTCAACTACGATTTGTCAATCATATTTAACTCCAATTCGTTCGTCTTCTTCAACTCCAATTGGTTCGTCATTTTCAACTCCAATACGTTCGTCCTTTTCGACTCCATTACGTTCGGCTTTTTCAACTCCAATTCCATTTTCATAGCATTCATCATCATTACATTGGGCATTCGCATTTCCATTTTCATAGCGATAACTAGCATTAAATGCTCTATTAGAATCAACCATATCTGTAGATTTTTGATAATAACTGAAAGCTTTATGTTCATCTTTGTCGACACCAATTCGTTCGTCTTTTTCAATTCCAATACCATTTTCATAACAACGGCTGACATTATATATCCCATTAACATCTCCTAACTCAGAAGCTTTCTGAGAATATTTGAATGCCTTGCGTTCATTGTCTTCAACTTCTATTCTTTCTTCGTAACAATAGCCGACATTAGATGTTCCTTTAACGTCTCCCATCTCAGCGGGTTCATAATAAATGAACGCCCTATGTTCATCTTTTTTAATCCCAATTCCATCTTCAGTATTTTTTAAATACTGTTCAAATGCTACCTTTTTGTTTCTGATTGTGTCCATCGCTTTCTCGTAGCATTGTCCAGGTGAATCATCACTTTTAGCCAATTTCAAATACCACTTGGACGCATTGGTTTTCTTGTTTACTAATCTATTTTTTTCTTCCTTTACACAGCTTCTCGTATTATTGAGGGTTTGGGCTCTTCCTTTCGCCGAGTGTCTTGTTCGCTTCTTTCTTTCTGGAGTATTAGGCCGGCATTGTCTTCCTGAGGTACGTGTCTCTTGTTTCATCTTAATTTCTTCTTTTAACCAATGAGGTTTCTTTCTTCTTACTTCCTTCACAATTTCCTAATAGAATTCCGCAAGCAACTTGAACTCCTGGAACTCTTTTTCACCCATTTCGGCATTCTGGATCTTTCTGCTTGCTTTCTCTACGAAACTTTTGACATATTTGGTAAGTCGTATAAAATTTCCTTTGTCCAATTGCATTTTTTTTTTTTTTTTTTTTTTTTTGTTATTTATTTATTATATTTATTTATCTTGTTATTATATATTTTTTTTTTTGTGTACAGTTGCCGATTACTAATCTAAAAGCTTAATTGCAGATCCTGTCAATATGTCGTAATCCTTAGGCTTTAAGCTTTGGTAAGTAATATATTTTTAATTTACTTTAGCTATTTATGAAGTAATTAATTTTCAGATCAGAATGTGAGCAGGCAAAATTTCCAGGGGTACTATCATTGGGGTCCCAAGGCTTTTCACACTTCCGCTGGGTAAGTATTTTTGTTATTTATTATTATTATTTTTTTTTTTTGATACTGATGCTTATCTTTCTCTTGGTTTGCCAGGACACCGGAACCTGGGCTGAATTCTGTTCTTCGGATTTCAAGGGGAAGTATTGCTTTTTTTTTAAGTTATCCCGGTATTACTAGGTTGGTATATCTTTCTTATGGCGTCTGATGCTGAAACAACTCAGGCGGGAAGTATCTTCTTTTGGTTTTCTTTGTTTGTTGTCTTGTTATTTCTGTCGATACTAACTTTTTTTTTTTTTTTTTCAGTTCTTGATACTAACGTCTTATCTTTCTCTTGACTTGCCAGGACACCAGAACCTGGGCTAGATTCTTTTCTTCGGATTTCAGGTAAAGTATTATATATTTATTTATATATATATATATATTTTTGTTTTATTTTCTTTTGCCTTTCTAACAGAAATTTTCTTTCCACTTTTTTTTCCAATTTCTGGCGAGTTCGTCTACCACGTGTTATATTCGCTTCTTGCCGATGCATTGGCCGATTTTTCTCCTAGTAAGTTTTACTTTCTTCTTCTTTTTTGTCCTTCTGATACTTGTTTGTCTTTTTCTGATTTAATTTACTTCTTTTTTTTTTTTGTATTCTTGCCGATATGTTGCTTCTTCTTTCATACAGTATGCCGATGAGGTCACGATTTGGCGATCAATCCTTTATTGCCGGTACGTTGGCTTTCGTCCTTCACACAGTGCGTCGGTGTCGGTACGTCATTTCTAGAGGCGATCCTTTTTTGCCGGTACGTTGGCTTTCGTCCTTCACATGGTGCGTCGGTGTCGGTACATCATTTCAAGAGGCGATCCTTTTTTGCCGATACATTGGCTTCTTCCTTCACACAGTGCATCGGTGAGGTGTCGGTACGTCGTTTCAAGAGGTGATACTTTCTTGCCGGTACGTTGGTGAGGTTTCTATTTAATAATTACTGTCTTTGTTTCTTTGTTTTTCTATTAATTTCTCTTCTAATTTAACTTTTCTTGTTTCTCGAATCAGGGGAGGGGGGTCGGATGATCTCACAGTCACCACCAATTGTAACAATACAGGTCGAAACTACTCTAGAATTCCCTATTCATAGGGTAGCTGATACGTCGTTAGCGTAAAGTAGGACATTACTACACTCGAAAGAGGCGTTGGATTTGGCGAGTGTAAGGTGGGTATTTATTATTACGTCCTATTCTATTCTCCCTATTTTTACATTTCAAGCACATTACTTATATACTTTTTCCCTATCTGCTATATACATTATATATGCTATATATGCTATCTACACTATATACGCTATATACGCTATACGCACTATATATGCTATATACGCTATATACGCTATATACGCTATATACGCTATATACACTATATATGCTATATACGCTATATATGCTATATACGCTACACTACTAATCCGATTTTGTACATATCAATGACGATCCTATTTTGGATCATGACAGTATAAAAAATATTATTATAAATAATAAAAATAGATTTTTAAATGTCTTAAATAATAGTTTATGCCTATTATAAAGTAAGTATAAAATGTGTAGTTTATTTAATAAAGAAAATTTTAATAAATATTACATTGACAATTTAGTTAATAAACTCTTTGTTTTAAGCTATTATTTTTTGATGCACACTTATTATAACTATATTTATTTATATAATTAACTTTAATATAAAAAAAAATATTATATTAACTTTATAGATTTATAAAATATTCATTAATAGTGTAAACTTGATTTTTTAGATCATGGGTGCCTAAATTGAAGCTATAATCCTGATCTGATTCAATGTTACACAAATGTAATGGAAATGTCACTTATATTACTTACATTGCTTCTATGACTTCTTCTATATATGAGTTAAACAAAATATTAGTATATTATTAGACTTAGTTAAAATATAAAATATAAGAAATCTAATGCATTTATAAAAAAAATTAACTGTAAATATAAACAAAACATTTATTATAAATAAAAGGCATTTTTGTCTTGAGAGAAAAACAATTATTCCTTTCCAAAAATAATTTCTCAATATCAACAAATTTCCTAATAACAATAAATATCTAATCTCTAAAAGTAAAAGTCTATTCTATACAAACTAATAAATTATTATAAACCCTGTTGTTACCTCTATTATTCATTTAAATAAATCTTTAAACTCACAAGTTAATTGCTTGCTGCAAGTTACATTACAAAACTGTTAACATTATAGAAGTGTTTCAACCCTAATTTGATGATGAGTAATTCTAAATTGAGACATAGAAGAAAAAATAAAGAGAAGATAAAGAGAAGGCAATAAGTTAGTAAAAGACTAGATTGCAAAAAAGACCTAGAGAGAAGAAAAGTACTTATCTACAGATAAACCACTAGCCAAATCTAATATGCCTATTTTGACTTAGCCACTGTAGATTACATAAGAGTTGGATTAGAGTAGTAACTAAATTGCTAATTTCAGAATCACAATAGTTATTTGTTTAAGGTTAGATTAGTAAAAACTTTTTGCTTTTTTAATAATTTGTTGTAACAAATAAATATTATTTTTAGTAACAAATTGTAATTACTCAAAATATTTTTTTACAACTTTTAATATTTTTTTTTTCTCATTATTTAAGACTATATTATTTATAACTTTTTCTTCTTTTTCATTTTCACTATCCAAATTTTCATTATCAATTAAGCCTTGCCTGTTAAAAATTTTTCTAATAACAAACTCTTTGATTAGTGCATTTATTGTTTATACTTTTTTTATCTGCATTTATATATTCTTTTGCTAATAATTTAGTACAATTATATAATATCTCTAATTTTTTTAATAACTGCTCAAGCTTATTTATATTATTATTATTACTTTTATTAGTAGCTAAATTTATTTTTAATAGAAGATTTTGTTTTATTCTAACAATATATAATTATTGTAAGGTGAAACTTGTTTCTATGTATTAGAAATCAAATAAAAAGCTTTTTTAATATTAATTAACCTAATAGATTTTTTATTATCTATTTTATCTAACCATTTTAATACTAGTAACTTACAATAATTAATTTTAAAATTTTTAATAAGATTAGCATCACAGAGTTGAATAACTGATATAGTATTAGATAACAAAAATTTTAATTTGATATTTTGCAACTTGGGACTTAAATGTGCATGACAATTATCAGCTAAAAGAATTGTTGGCTAATTAAATTAACAATCTACCTATTTTAACTAATTTTTTTATTTTTTTTATTATTTATGCTTTTTTTTTATTAGAATAGTATATAAAAAGTTTATATATATTGATATATTTCATATACTATAGACATGCACTTTTACTAATTACAAATAATTTAAATTTTTGTAACCCTAATGCATTCTAGCAAAGTATAGTAAGATGTGACTTGTTCTTCTTAAATTCTTTAGTGGTATTACTTTTAAATACAAGTATCTTATCTGGTCCAAGATAAAAAAAAACACATCTCATCACATTAAGGATATTATTAAAATGATAATTCTTAATTAATTCTTGAAAATAATATTGTTTATTCTTAATTGTGCTTAATCAGCTGATGAACTTTCTTTGGATATAGTTTTTAAACTAATATTAAATCATTGCAAGAATTTATGTACCCAATTATTAGATATCTCAAATATAGTTAGAAATTCTATACTACTATTTTTAACTGTTTATTTATTGAGAGTGCTTTTATTTTAAGCTTTTTTATAGAACATTTTGAAAATGAAGTTCTAAAAACAACTTATATAGTAAGATGTAAGTAGTATTATATAGCTGAAGATATTTGTCTTTCTCTTATAAATTATTGCTTATTGTAAATTTATCAATATAATATAGTTTTACCAAATTCTGATGACTTAGTTTTATATTTTCATATTTCTATTTATAATTTTAACCTTCTTCTTTAAAGTAATACAGATTTTTTCTTTCTTTTTTTACTAGACTTTGCTGTAAATATCATATAATAAACTAAGCAATGCTAATAAATATGTATAAATTTTTTTTAAATAAAAAAAAATAGATTTCAAAAATATAAGTTTTTATATTATATAATTATGAGTAAATTAATTTTTTATTTAATAAATAATATGTAGCTGCACAATATTGTCACACAAAACCAGAAACAGAAATGTAATAAATATACTGCTATAGGTTAGAAGTGTTTGTAGATTTAAAACTTGAATCAAGTTTGCATATAGGGTTGTGAAATTACTGTAATGCTATATAATTTTGTGTAATTTTTTATAAGATTTGGTAAATAGATTTATATAAAAATGTAATTTTAATCATATAATATGTAAGGCTATATAAATTTATATAATTAGTTTTCATATCCTGCCTACATTGACAAAGTAGAGACTAAAATTCTTTTTTATATAGGCAAGCAATAAAAATTCTTTATTTAATAAAGTAATAGGTAATGTTATTTAATTGGTTTATTTATGTAGATCAAATTCAATATATGTTATGAATAAATATTTATGTTTATAATGTTAACAAAACTGATTAACATTAATAAATTATCTTTATACTACCCATTATTTAAAAAGTATTAGATAACTAATTGTAAATAAGTATTTAATAATAAGCATTTATAAATAAGTGTTTATGTTTATGACTTTAATTATGCTGATTAACTATCTTAATACTTATACATTATTTGAAGAGTATTAGATAACTAATCATAAATAAGTATTTAGAGATAAATAGACTATTTGAGGTATTTGGTAATTAATTATAAAGAAGTATTTAAAGATAAATATTTATGAATAAGTATTTATATTTATAATGTTAACAAACTGATTAATATTAATAAATTATCTTTATATTGAGAGGTTCTAATTTGGCAAGTCTGTCACTAATCAAAAGTTGGCTTTATATAATGTTCAGATAGCTTTCAATTTAGGTCTGGCTTATCCTAAATAGTTTATACTACATTGAGACTATTACTCTAATTTTTCTAACAGTTCAGTATTCTACACTATGTCAAAAATTACTGGCAATTGAGTTGGAATTTACTACTCTATACAGATTAAATTTATTCTTTAACAATAGTTCTCTATAGTTACTTATAGATGAACCTTTTATTTGATTTAGTCAAGTAAAAGAAATCTGCTTTATTACATAAGTAAAACTATATGTTATTTATAACTAATTTACTATTTATTTTTAGAGTGTTGATAATTATTATAATAATTATAATAATTATAATGCTTATATTAATTATAATCATTATAATTAATATAAGCAATATAATCATTATAATCATTATAAGTATAGTTATTCCAAGTATGGTATAAGATCTTTATACATCAGAAGAACATGACTTGAGGTTAAATGATAAAAATTTATGATGAAATTGGCCAATTGTAAATCATGAGTTTTGGGTCTAACAATACTCATCTACTATTTGAAGAATATTAGATAACTAATTGTAAATAAGTATTTAGTAATAAGTAATTATTAATAAGTATTTATATTCATGACTTTAATTATACTAATTAACTATCATAATTCTTGTACACTATTTAAAAAGTATTAAGTAATTAAGTATTTAAGGATAAATAAATATAAATAAGTATTTATGTTTATAATTTTAATGAAAATAATTAATGTTAATAAGTTATCTTT